ACTTTTGCTTAAATGCTTATTTTAAATATGTATATATATATATATATATATATATATATGTATGTATATTTGAAGATTTATTTAGGTAATAGGAAGTAACAGGTTATTAAATACATTTAATTCCGTTGAATTCTTTCAAATAAAAGAAATTGGATAATAAAATACGAGAAATATGATATCATACATTTTCAAATTACCTGTAATCCAAGCACAATTGGAAAACATTGCAAAAATTCGTCATTCAACAGCAAATTAATGAATTAGTTTTATTACTCGCCGGATACTGTATTTGATAAAATTACCTGTTGCCAGGTACGTGAATTAGACAAAGTAATTCCATTCTCCAATCATACTATATACAATCTAGAGTTTTACGTTGAAAATTCGATTGTTTTTAATATTGTACGAAATTAATTTTTATAGTGTATAAATTAGTGACAAACCTAATAGTTAATGACATAAATAATATGGGTTTATAAGCTGCTCGATTGTTTGTAAAAATGTAATAGCTTATTTTTAACATTGTATTTGAAAATTAAATTATATGAATTATCGAAACGCAATAAATACAAAGATAATAGCAAAATATATAAATGATAATATAGTAATAAAAGAAATAGTTTGTTTACCAAAAATGCTGACGTAAAACATATCGTCTTTAATAAAATACCATATATTTATGTAATATATACGTATTTACGTATCGAAAATAATTTTAAAGAATAAATTATAATTTTATTATAGTTTTATAATAAATATAAAACTAGCGTTACAACCGCTCATAGTAGGAAATTTTGTTCGCTCTTCGCATCTAGCGTGTCCGACCGAGTACCCGAAAATACCCGCACCCGCAGTTGAATGACAATCCTCAAATCGAGTACCAGTACCCGCACCGCCGAAAGTGTGTTAACATGTTTTACAAAAGCATTGCTTTTAAAGAGTCAAAAGTAAGTTTCCATGTTCTATTTCTTTCACTTGTTACTTGTATACAGATAGATTACTTTGTTAGTTATTTGGCTGTAAGTTGAGCATTGATGGTTAATTACGAGCAATTAGTTTTTGCGTAAATAATTAATACTGAATCAAAGTTCAAAATTTTATACCAATTTCAGAGCTTAATACAATCACTTGCAATTATAGCATGAGATCCACACCTAATTGCAACATCAAATACAATTCATCGTTACTGCCAATAATTCATGCCGAAGTTTATCATATTATATAACACTTAATTGGCCTTTTGAATAATAGTTACTATATTTATATCAAGAAGTGAAAACACTACTTTTTAGCTCACGTAATAACAAACGAATTATTTAGTTCAGCAGTGTTGTGAAGAATCTAATTATAATCGCAGAATGCAAAACAAGATTTCATCACTTCATTATAGAAGTGAGTCTTCTACAATGATATAATCGAGCACTTAAGAATGTTGTGCCGACCAGCAAAATAGAAAAAGAATGGAACAAAGGTAATTTTGCTTAGACGACAACAATTCTTTGTTAAAATTACAAATTCAATAGAAATATAGAAATTTAAACAAAAATTCACGTCGGAAATTAAACTTGAGCCTGGTACGTCTTCGACAAAAAGAAGAACCAACATTTTTAAGTGAATAAAATTTTTAGAAATGTATTTGCTAAATTATTTATCTATCTCCTTCTCCTCTAGTGGTTTGTGAATTTACCACTGTTATTATTTTAATTAAACACATAAAACTGGAAGCCATTGTTCGCAAACATTCCTATTACAGTCATTTGTGCAGAACACGTCGAGTGGCAACAAAACTCTTTTGGTCTTGTCAGTAGCGATCTCAACAAGTCGGACCGCAAACAAACAGGTATTGCACAAGATCACAAAGCCTGTTAATGACAACAGAACTCATACCATAAGTTCTGCAAAAAGGTGGAACAATCATAGTTAAGGTTAGAGCAGTATAATCTGAAGAATCTCAACTAAAGTTTTGTATTTATCCACGTAAAGAACCAACACATTAGTTATTTTAGAGTATACAAAACGATCAACAAGAAAGACCAAGATAACTGATTAAATTAAATAATAGCATGATTTGTGATATCGATGTTGCAAATTAAAAATACAAACCTTTATTTAATAAACTATGCCAAATATTCACACTAAAGTACGCTCAAAGTTGCGTTCCAATGTATTTCAACATAAAGGCAATTTATGTAAAATTTAACGTTGTCTCGTCCCGATCCCTCTGTGCACAATTTTGTTCGATCTGTTTAACTTTTTATTGAACCATCTTTACATATAAACATCAATTATAATTATTTTTATTTTTTACATACATACTGCTACCACCACGTTATGAGCTTATAACGTGGTGGCAGCGGTATGTTTATTTTTCAATTCATTCAAGAGAAAAATTTATTTGTAAAATCTAAATATTATCAATTGAAGTGATCATTTTTCTCATGTTTTCGTAGCAAATACGCTCGGATTCAATGAATATTATTATATTTTTACGCCGTATTCAAAACATAATCCAACCAAGCTTAATGTTCTACGAAGGCGACGATTTTACCATGTTTGGACGCGACTGTATCTCCGCAAACGCGTTGAGTGATGTTATGATAGGACGCTGATGATCAAACACACTTTGCAGAAAGATTCATAAACGCAGAAGGCATTTGCTAGATAATAGATAACACGGGCTTCTCGAGTTTCATAAAACCCGTAACACATTTGAGTACAGGTAGTAGCCAATTATGTTAAGTAAGTTTGAAATACTGATGTCTTACTATCATAGCAGAATAAGGAAAAATTATTGGGTAATTAACTTAATGACAAACTTGTTTTTTAAAACTGTTTGGTGATAGAAATATTCTAATAACCGTTACCATTGTCCCATGCTGGCCACCATTTAGTAAACCTCACATATAATTAGTATTTTGTCTAAATATAAAGATACATTATACGTGAGTATAAGAAAAAACTATAAAAGTAAAGTAAGTCTGATCACAAATGATTGTCTGCGCTTAACTTATTATACTGTAGATCTCCTTCTTGAACAATAACAAAATAACCGACATTTAATTAATTATATATCCTTCTATTAATACATATCTGTTGCTGCTTGCCAATATAATACTTTTTTAAAGGCAGTTGCAAGAATGTAGTAAACATAGTTTGAACTAAGTAGTTATTATCGTACTTCATATAATTCTCACCATTAAATGTGATTTAGTATGTAAACATGTCTGACGCATAAATATATCATATTGAGTATGACAGATTAGTAATAGTGTAGTTTTACAAGTATTAATAGTAATTCAATTTAGTACTGCAGATAAATGTATATAGGCATAAGTAATATATATATATATATATATATATATATATATATATATATATATACATATACGTGTGAATAAATGGTTTGTGCATGATTGTAATTTTAGACCTCAGAAAAACTTTTATTTGTACAGCATTAAGACATTAAATCATTTCATACTATGAAGAAACAGAACAAACAAGGAAAGTATCGTGATATACCAACAAGATCCACTATATTATTGACAGCAACGGAGTAATTTCGATAAGTGCATGTGCACTTATCTCTAAAAATTTTCACAACAGCCAGTGCTCGATGTTTAACACGAATGATACAAAATAATAGAGTCGCCGATGGAGGTTCGCAGCGCAGTGTGAGGCTACGTCTGTTATTCTTGTTCTCCACACTTTCACTACTAATAATACTACAAGAAGTAGGGGATAAAGGTTTAAAAGTGTATCCTTAAGGATGAAATCATCAGAAATTTTTGTCAGTTCTAATAATTATTGGATAGTACACCGATACATCTTCTAACATATTTTTATGATTTTTCATTTTTATTTGGTTTTTAGGGTAGAACGGGGTTCAAAGTTACGCGGATAAAAAGGTCCACCCCCAAAATCTCAAATACAAGTAAAGTTAGGAATTTTTTACAACAATATTTGAAAGTAAAGGGGAAAAAATATATAACTAGCTATCACTTCAATTCGTACGACGTTTTCGAAAGTATTTTTATTCATATTATAATCTTAAATTTGAACTACATGAAGCCGCTTGATTCTTTTTATTGTAAATTAAATCTATCAACAATCATTTACTAAAGTTACTACCGAGACGGTACAAGAATAAGAAAGGCTAGTGTGATTTTATTCCAGTTTTCCCTAAAAGGTATAGTCGAATCTTTCCTCCGTAGTTGCGCCGAACGCGCGCACGACGTTAACCCCGCGCAAACCGAGACCGACCGCCCGATAGCAGATATGAAAGATCGTCTGACACTTCGATTACGGCGAACGATTCGATTGGATGGAGCATTTTTTACGGTTACTTAATACCAGTAAAGAGTTTTTTAGTTTAGATGTATACATTGATGGCAACAAAGCGGGATAATGCGGATGCATTAAGGCGATAAGAAGCCAATACTTAATGCAATACTGAAGTTATAAATTTATTGCCGGACAAATCGAGATCTCATCGAAACTTTGCACAATATAAATAGAAATGTACGGTCTGCGAAAGGATTGGCTTTAGAAAGGTAATAAATGTTCGAACGCTTCATCGTTGACTCGCGCTATTTATTAGCACGTCCACGGACAGCTATGTGTGTTCAACATAAATACGCTCAAGAAAATATCTATTTAAATTGGACATGTATCTCTATATCTTATGCAATTAGCATTTCAACTCAACATACTTATCAATACTCAATTAATAAAATTTATCGACACAATAAAAAAATTCCGTGAATATACCCAATTGCATCAGTACATATATGTAATAAATACCGTTCATGGTATCAAATAAATTTCCAAACACAGAAGAAATTTTCTTATCATTTCTTATCATTCTTATAAGTACTTATAGAAATAAGCACTTATCCTGTTATGTGATTTTATTAATTACATTTTGATAAAAAATATGATTACCACAACAAATATTTCTAGTATTCATGACTATAAAACTTGTATTAAATTAAGATATTTACCTGAGTTTCCGTTAAACTGAGTGCCTGCGCCAATTGTTTACGTTCTGCTCCAACCACATAGTGGTTGCTTTCAAACGCATGCTCCAATTTGAGAAGTTGCGATGGCGAGAAGGCGGTTCGTACTCGTTTTGGTTTTCTGAAAGGCTGCAGCAGGAATCCGGGTATATCAGGTCCTGAAATTATAGTCAATTATTAGACAAATGCATAAAATATCAGATAGTGTTCAATTTGTATTCATTGCCACAGCTTTTACAACAAATAAATGTAAAATTAAAATGTTTAGCCTTGCTGCATCTATAATTTAAAACTATTGGTATTTCAAAACAGTTGTTGCAAAATTTTTTCAAATTCATTATACTAAAAAAAACATAAAATGTTCATTATATAATCAAGCACTAATTAGGTTGACGTCAGTTCAACGGATAATTACCCTAACTTTTGCTCGAAAATGCATAATGAAAAAAATACATATTGTTATTGCTTATAATGATCTAATATTTGTCATATGTTATTAAAATTAAAACATATAATATTATTATATGTTATTACAGGCGCTCTCATGTGAATTTAATAAAAAATTATACAGAATAATTCAGTGATAAATATGAAAAACTAACAAAATTGATTGCATTTGCGTAATGTTAAAGATTTGCAATTTGCTTAATGCATTGGGTTGCAGATAATATTTGACGCAAAGCAATTTTTATGCTAAATACTGAAAAATCGGGATGATTTATAATTTTGCTGATTGAGCTGTGTATAATCTACATGTCACATAGATAACATATTAGCATGTCCGAGCAATCATTGAAGATAATTTATAATTTCATAATATATATTTATATTTCTCTGAATAGATATGGAAAAATAAAACGTGTAAGTCTATATACATAACATAATTCTGTATAGAATTGTAAAAATGGAATTGGAGCATTGAAATTGCTGGTAATTAACTACTAATGATAAACTTGCAGCAATATAACAAACTAAGTGATCTATCTGTATACAAGTAATAGTTATTACTAAAAGATATCGAACAAAAAAAACTTACTTTTGACATTTTAAAAGTAATGCGGTCTACAGATTATGTTAATGTAGGGCGCTGATTTAATGCACTTCATCTTTCTCGCTTTGCACCCTATATCAAAAACAGTATAGTTGAGCTGTTATGACGACTGTCACTACCGTACCCTTTCACAACCGTACCATTTACATAAGTTTTACATTTTAAGTCCGAGTATTTTCCGAGTATGTATTTTCAAAACGAGAAACTTGGTGCAAAAGTTGAAATATGTAATGGATCGTACGTTGTGTCAAGAATTCAAATCTCTAGATATATGAATGGTGGCATTCGTACGAAATAATATAAAAGGCACGAGTTGTTGTAAGTTGTTAATGTAATGCATACCACGTACTTTATACCGCATTATGATGAGTACATGTACAGCTCCGCTGTCAACACGCCAACAAAATGGAAGAACAAGATAATGGCATTATTTTCGTATCATGGCGCACATGATTATGCGATACGTCAGCCGCAAATAAAAAATATAAAAAAACGTTCCTTCTAATTATGTTCATTTGATGTTTTCTGAAATGCGTATTATTGGATTGCACGCATCGTCGAAGTTGCAAACTGTAAATGCCGTAATTATAGAATACTTGACTCTATTCAGTCGCTCATTACTGCGTTTTGTCTGATTTATTCGCTGTAATCACAAGATTTTTTTCTTCACGTGTTTACAGAATGTAAACTCGTTTAACTCAATGTTGCGTACATGCGTTAAATATTTTAATTATCACGAGTACTTAATGGGCAATTATCCAGCTGTCAATACGTTCACATTTTATTCTGCTATAATTTATATGGAAATATCATTTTACTTCCTTTGTGGTATTTGAAATGTAATTATGTACAAGATTCCGCGTTTAACGACGGTCAGATCAATTAAATATTTATTTTTAGGTATTTAAAAATGTTCAATTGTAAATAATATAAATTCTAAATGAACTCAATATTGGTATATAAATAATTAATTTTGTTGCATACACGCTCATACAATTTATAATGTTGGGTTTAGTGTGAGTCTTCACACATATGTGAAGAAATCAGAATTATTCTTAGGCACTAAATTTCGTATGATGTTATAGTATTTCGTATATTTACAAACAAAAACTTTTGATATTTATTATTAAACTGAATATTTATGCGTGTGCAGAGAAGGATTTCTAGGAGAATGTGTAATAATAATGTGACCATACGTCCAAGATTGGCCGGGACAGTCCCGACTTTCGGCTTTTTCTAAAAGCAATATTTGTCCCGCTTTTAGGTGTTTTGTCCCGGATAGTCCCGGATTTTTGAAAATGTTTTGATTGCCAATATTTTTTAAATATATTTTAACTACAAAATTTGAACCGAAAAAATGTGCATATAAATTTTTACCTCACCAACCCTCCTCCCCTTCACTCTCACACACATTATAATCCGTCCCGGATTTCATGCAAAAAAATATGGTCACCTTCGTAATAAGACTTTTTACGTAGTTTGTATGTTATTTTGGTGAACCGTTGATAACAATGAATACTATCGATGCGCGTATATAAACAACATTGTAAGGGATGAATAATGAAACAAATTGCGTAGTTTGAATGAATCACGTGCTTGCAATATATTATATATATATATATATATATATATAAATATATATTATGTTTACATATTTTACCTAAAGAAGCACACATAAAACATATTAATGATCTATTTGTTTTGTCATCTTTGTCTATTTTCGAGTTTCATGTCCTGCCATGATTAGAATTCGAATTTTCATAAATGATAGATTTTCTAGTCCTTAACTACGCGCGAACACGTAAAATCGTCAAATTGCTGCCTCTGATAGTCCCATGTGTATCTATTTACATAAAAATACTATTATTCAAATTCAGCGATAGAATGCCTTATTTATGTGATGCTCACAATTATGTATAATTGTCACGGAAGTAAATGAATCACTGGCTTGTTCACACGCATAACATCGAGGAACCTTAATACAGATTTAAATGATATTTTATGATAGCCTCCAATATCATATCCTTATTTCTTCTAAGGTATGCGGCAAATGCTTATATGGATATTGTAAGGTGCTTATCTATACATGTTATGATAATAGATTCTACTTTGTAATCATACCGTCGCTATTTCATCCTTCTATAAGTTATTAAGTGTATTTTGTTAACTTCAATATATTATTAACCAATTTGTTAACTATTTTATGTTTGCTCTTAGAAAGCGCAGGAACACGACAGTTTAACGGAATCATCAGATTTAATATGATGTCATAGATGTTATATTAGTTAAGTACTTATGTTTGACTGAGCCGTTAATTTTGCAAACGTTAACAGTGAATGTATGAATAATAATATAGGTCATTTATAGATTAAAATTTGTCTTAACTTGAATAATTAGTAATTTGTTAAAATGTACCTATATGAGATGCAAAAAATCAATCTACATTCGCCACTAGTATTCACAATCGAGTAAGTTTTACGATCGACAGTAAGTTTTGATATTTATGTAGGTGTCATATAAAGACTTTAGTGAAAGTTCACTATGTAGTTGTTTGAAATAATCTTTTCAAATAGTACATGCAGTATCGTATTTATTTTAAAATCAATATTGTTATAAGCCAATAAATGTCACCACATGCTGACACGCTCAGAGAGTGACATGTTTAATTTAATTAATTTAATTTGAAAATTTGCTTTATTTGACTTCAATACATACAATACATTGATTTTTACATAAAGATATAAATTGTATACACATACTCTGGGAATATCATTATACTATCATAATATAATATTGTTTGCATATAAATATTTTTGTTTCAATTAACTTATATAGGTATGAAAAGAGCTATTAAAAACATACTGCCATCATGACATATTTAATTTTCATTTTGTAAAATCCAGTTTAACTTGATCTTTGATAACTTTTTAATGTTTCTAAATTTAAAAAAAAACTTTGATATTTGGGTAGTATATATATAAATTTTTGCATATCATTACGGTTTCTGAATATTTTGACATACCTAAGGAAAAATTGGTGTGTGTATGTATATTGAAAGACGTGCTGATTAGTTTTTGGCAAAAGTTGGTCCAGCCGTTTCGCAAAAAATGTAAGAAATGAAAATTAAATTTTTAATAGAACGGAGCACCGGATTTGAATGATTCAAAAAACATTTTTTTGATGCTATGCACCACTAGTCTTCTATATTATTTTGTATTTTAAGTTCACAATAAATTTCTGTTACTCGATATTAATTAACAGATGTAACTTAAAACAAACAAATAAAATAAAGTCAAGGTTTTGTGTTGTGTATTTCGTATTGACTTGTGGTTATATTTGAGCCCTACGACATACTATCATTAAAATATCAAAAACATAACGCAACCTTATCCAAGTTGATTTGTTTACTAGGCAAAACAAAACGATAAAATCATCGAAGCATCGTTTCAAGTATATTGCATATGGTTAGCAGCCATATGTGTGGATAATATCCATATCCTCGTTGGATATCTTGAATCAATCGTTTTAACGTTTCGCGCTTCTCCCAGGCTATGTTGATAAATAACGAAACGCATTATAAAATGAAACGACGCTTATCAAGAGCTCATTGTTAGCGAGATCAGATTTATCCCCTTTCGTCTGGCAAATCACGAGGCACCACACTCATGTCGGAGCAGAGGATAAACGGTAGGGTTGAGAACGAATTATAATTTAACTAGGCGTAAGTGACATTTTACCGCAGGGCAAATGATGTACTATATCAGTGAATCACTATTTTTGAATTGAGATTGACAAAGATATTTTTTGACTGTTGATCACGATAAAACTCTTACAATATCTTATATCATTTTAAATATGTACCATAGAAATGGTAAATGCATATTATTAAATTTCACTTTTCTTCAACTCGATTATAAATTTATATCTACAAATCTATATTATATCATGTCATCTTTGGTTTACGAAGAAAGAACTTGAGATATTTATATGACCTATTTATTTATTTACTTACTTGAGGGTTATACTTTAGTCATGAAATTGGTAATATCCCATATAAACACATATAATATCTTTACTTATATATTTGTTTCAAAGATCAGTTTTTGT